CAGCGTGAGCTTAGCCGCGCGCGGAACTTTAGCTTCGTTGGAATTTTCGACGCTAAGCCGCTACCGCTAAGTAGGCCGTTTGAATTCACAGCTTCCGGGTTTGTTGTTTTGAAGCCATCTCACGGCTCATGCGCTTACCAAAAATGGCGACCAGTTTCGCTTTCACTAATGGGTAGAGGGATAAAACTAATGATTACGAAGCCATCGTTAATTTTAGACATCGGAACTATCCGTTTCTATTTAAGTCTGTTGTTTAAGAATTGTCGGATCTACTTTTGGCCTAATTTCTTTGTTTGTATTTAACGAGGCCGTCGAGAGAAAGTCACGCTTATTTAGCTTGCGTTTCAAGTCGAATTAACTAAAGCAGGTGCGCTCGACAATAACTTTTTTATTTTTTACAATTTTTATAACATCTTTACTATCAAATAAAAATTGAATTGTTTAATGAAATTAGGGTGAAAACAATACATTTGAGGGTGTAAGTGATCACCCCTCAATAATGCCATTTTATTATATTCTTGTTTGGTGAAAACGAGGCGCGGGAAAATGTGTGCCGCGCAAGAATCCAATCATTTGGCTAGATTTATGACTGTTTTTTATGTCATACCTAAAAATAGAATGTTTACGCTTTCTTCGTTGATGATCGTTTTTATTATTTTTTAAATTGAAAGTATGAATTATTAGTTAGATTGCGGATTTTGTAACTTGGTATACTTACCTTTTATCAATTTAAAAAACATAGCATGCTAATTGTGAACAAATATAGTCATAAAACACAGAAATATAAAGTTATAATTGCGATGTGCCACACCCGGGCCACACCCCCTCAAGAAAGCATGTGTTTATTAAGCTGGTTTATCTCACTTTACAACAGTAATTAAAATTAATTTTCAAATTTTTATCACTTATTGGGTAAGATTAAGCACATGTTTACCAAAAATAAAAATAAAACAAAAGCAAATTCTGTTTTAATGAAGGTCACGGGTGAAGTTTTTTTTTCCTTCTGTCACGTTCAGTGGAGGGTGCCACAGGCTGACCTGACTTTGGAATTTTTTTCAGTAATAATGACTTTGCACAGAAAGTTAAAATATGCTAAATTAGCTTAGTTTACTAGTGTTCTAGCTATTATTGATACATTTTTAATAAAAAAATCATTCTGTAATTCTCATCAAACAGCCTACGCTAAGGTTTTACCGGTTGGGGTTAGCAAGCCATGTGTAAGTTAACTAGCCTACCAGTAACCTAACATCCTTTTAAAAAGAATATACGGGAGAATGTTTATACCGGTGTCTGATAATGGAATCTTCTTTAAAAAAGGGGTGTTAGGTTACTGGTAGTTAACTAAATACACACATGGCTGGCTAATGTCAATGCTAACCCTGTCCCTAACCCTAACCCCAACCCTGGTCCAACCATACGCCTAACCCGAACCCTAATTTCTAACCATCAAATTAGTCAAGATTACAATACTACACTAACAACCCAACACCCCTTTTTTAAAGAAGATTCCATTATCGGACACTGGTATCTATAATCGGTAAAATCTTAGTTTAGCGTCGTAAATTCCAACGTAGCTAGTAATGTGCGATGAAGGTAACTAATGAATATTTCTTTCATTTGGCCATATTTATGTCATATTTTACATAATATAACAGATAATTGAATAACAAATCACAATCCAAGACCAAACCAGTCATAAATATCCTGGAATAAACTTTAAACTACCCCGTTCGAGACAACAATGAGTAAATTCAAGCAGCGGCCATGTTTCAAAAACAATAAATTGTCTATTCGCATGTCTTTTGTGTTGATTTTGTGGTTTAATATGATTGCTTTGTATTGTTTTAATATTAATACATGCCTGGGGGTCGTCCATAAATGACGTCAAACTCGTAGTGGGGAGGGGGGTTCACATGGTGTGACGAATTTTAGACGTTATTTTGCGTTTTAGATAACTGTTTTAATACATTGTAATAACAATTGATTAAAATACTCTATTTTGACAGAGTTCAGACAAGATTTTGGAAAAATATAGCTGTTTAAAAACAATTCAACTGCAATTTTGAGGGGTTGTAGGCTGAGGTGTGACGTCACTTTAGGGGGGTGGGGGTCTGGCTTTTTGTGACGACGTGTGGGGGAGGGGGGGGGGGGTAAAAATCGTCAAAAAAGCGTGACGTCATTTATGGATGACCCCCCTGTATAGTAATTTTTCTTTTTTTAATATAGTTGACATGAATGACTAATAGACCTTATCAGACTTAATAGTGTGCATCCAAGACCACAACAATTGTTGGGAGGTTGAACTTTTGAACACTTTATTTGCAGTAAGCAAATCAATTATTTTAGATCGCTCATAAATGACGTCGCTCTTAAGATAGTAATGACAGCGTGCATTATTACAGAGCAAACATGAACATATTGTTTCAGATAGAAATTGTGATTTGTGGTGGGGAGAGGTTGGGTAGAACTCAGCGATGTGATTTTGGAGACGGGTCAGGTTTTTTTTTTCGTGAAAACGGGATGGTTGTGGGAGAAAGACCAGCTGTAGAAGTATGACGCGTCATTCATTGGTGATCCATTTTCTCAGTGGGGACGAAAGAACTATTAAGAAGGGTCAAGAAATGTAAAAAGCTTGCTGAGTCGCATTTCTTGAACCCTACCTTTTTCATTCCCCCACTTAGCACATCGTCACCGAGTTAACGCTCGCACGTGACGTCATGTAGCGGTACCGCCGACCGTTAGGCTAATTTTATAGAAAAAAAAAACAACAAGCACTGCCTTTTTGACGCTTTTGCGACGTTTAATTTGATTACATAAGTTGGTGTTCATTAAACAGCCCCTAACACATCTATCACTCGTCCATTTAAACGTACGTAGTTATTTCTGCAAGCTTGCTGTCTTGAGACTTTCGGCCCTTTAAAAATGCATTAAGCTCACACCGTATAGAACTAGACTACCCATATTAAGCTCCAAAAGAAGCTTGGTGAAAACAGGATGGCCGTCCGATTTTGTAGCTGCTCCGCGCTTTATAAAAAGCACAATAAACGATAAGATGACACTTATATTAAAGTAAATTATAGTTCTGAATCTTGATACATTAAAAGTGATATTCGGAAATTATGAGCCAGACAGTCAACATGATATTTCAATTTAAGTCCAAGAAAATAAATTTCCTCAAATGATGGAACATAACTAAATTTTTGCGCAGTTTAGCGAAATTGAATTTAAGTATTTACGTCATCTTACAAAGCGCGATAGCCTACTGGTGCTCTAACGCGGCCCATGCTAATGGCCGTATTCCTAACGCCCCGCATTAGACGCGGCTTAATTCGTCAGCAGGCATTTGGTGGCAAGCCTTTTTGACGGGGATAATGTGTTAAGTTAAGGCCGTTTTGCCAAATGTCTTAAACTAGCAGGCTTGCAACATTTATGATAATTCGTTTTAAGCAAGGTATACGTATACTAATGCTTATTTATCGTTATTTTGATTGAACAAAGCATTATAGAGGTTCTCCATCAACCACATAGGTATTTTTCCCCGTTCACCTCCTTTCATGAGACCGACACGTCATAAATTGCAAAGCCACCTGAGTTGACGTCACAAATCTTCACTCACTCCCGTAGCAAATCATATGTGACATCATTTATGGACAACCCCATATCACTCACTTGGGTAGATATTGACAATTTGACAACAAAGGATAACCAAAATCTGTCTGGCAGGTGGAGACTTGCGATCGACCATAATGACAACACGCACTTAAGGGGTGGAGTGGCTGATTATTTTAGATGATGTTTTACGAGGGAAGCTGGTGGATAATACATTTTGTCTCTCTGTATATATAAATGATGACAAACATTTATTGTTGTCAAAATTATGGCTAGAGATCTTAGATAAGGCAGAGCGAAGCGTAATTTTTTACATTAGGGGTCATCCATAAATGACGTCACGCTTTTTTGACGATTTTTACCTCCCCCCCTCCCCTCCGTCACACGTCGTCAGAAAAAGCCAGACCCCCCCCCTAAAATGACGTCACACCTCAACCTACAACCCCCCTCAAAATTGCAGTTGAATTTTTTTTAAACATCGATATTTTTCCAAAATCTTGTCTAAACTATTACAATTTATTAAAACTTTTTTCTTTTTTTATAATGCAAAAATGTGACGTCGCAACATCTGAACCCCCCTCCCCCTCCCCCTCATCACACATCGTCACAAAATTACGGACCCCCCCCCCCCCTCCCCCTACGAGTGTGACGTCATTTATGGATGCCCCCTTATGACTTGTTGTGACATTGACAACAAAAATATGACGGAGGTTGGGGTTTAATTAAGGTAAAGAGAAGTAAAAAAAAAAATGTCATAAGTTACGATAGAATCACTAGATCTAACTGATGGAAAGAAAAACCTGAAATGAAAATAGTGAACATTCAAACAATAAGAAAAAACTCAAACTATATAGTAATAGTAAGATCAAATAAACATTAGTAAAAAAAAAACGTGATTTAAAACATGGATACAAGTTGCATCTCACAATGCTTCTAGAATTAATAAAGTTGTTTCTTAGGACATTCAGTTTTTAAAGAGCAGAATTTTAAAAAATGCTTTGTTATACGGACTATACAACAAGACAATCATATTTAAATACATTTTCATACGAATAGAAATGAAAGGGAAGCTACTCTAAATAACATTTTCTTAAGATGGCTGCTGTTTTTAATAGTAAATTTACTATCTCGAACAGGGTTGATAAAAATTAATTTCAGGATATTTAAATTGATTTAACCATAAATGGTGATCTATTATTCAATTATTTATAATATTTTATCAAAATATACGAAAATATACTCATATTTAATGACATATTCATTATTGCACTCTCTCCTACATTACTAGTTTTGGCCGAATTTACGACGCTAAACTAAGATTTTACCCTATAATCATCCGAATATACTATTATCGGATACAAAAATTCCCCCATATTATAAAAACATATTACCATTTTATGAAATCTGGCCGACTTATTCTAAGAAAAGTTTTAAAAGTCTTGAACAGCGGTGAGCCAGCGACTTGCTTGTTCTCACACGAGGAACAGAAAGACTTCGTCATATTCGAGTTTCCGGGATCTTGCATTTTATTAAAGGCCAAATAAAACTGGTACAAATTTTAATGTTATGTAATTCGTATTTAATTGTTATTGTTATTAGGCTTTTAACGCTATTATTTTATTTCAACCAAAATGTGTAGGCTTAGATTATTCCCCCCCCCCTTGAACCCCCAAAATTACTACTGTTTTACTTTAGGTTACAGCTGTTGACTTGTATCACTATTATTAATTATTTAGGACTTACGGATAGACACTACGGATAAAAAAAAATATTTAACATATTTCTGGGTGTCTAATAAATTCATATGTTAATAGTTGTTAACCTATTGACAAAAATAATATATAGCCGCCAATAGCAGTACTAATTGCCATGGAAACCACGAAAAGGTGTGAAAACTAACACCTTTTCAAACCGCTATAACTGTTCCAATAAGAGATTTTTAAAAGCTGACGAAAGATGTAGATTTTTCAAACCAAACTATACATTTCTACGTTTATTCATTGCGATAGCTCGTACTTAATTTTTAATACAAATTTTTACGTACACTTGTGTAAAAAAATTAGGAGGTCGTGGTGCCACATAAATATCAATATTTCCTAAATTATTGTAGTAAACTTATGTACAAACGTAGTTTTGTAGATAGTATAATGCTGAATGTACGTGGAATGTTTCAGTCTTGTATGACAAAGCGTTTCAAAGCCTTAGCGATTTGAATGTTGAATTTTGAGTAAAAATGCAAAGTTGAGAAAACGTGAAAAGAAGGGCGGAAAAAGGCACTGTGATATTCTTCTTATGGAAACAGAAAAAAAACGTCTTGTTATGTGTATAAGAACCATTTGACTAATAAAATACGCATTGATTTATGTTGTAAGTTTTAGACTGATTTTTCTATGTAAGCAGAAAATATGTATACAACAGGCAGAGGCGTAGCGAGGGGGGGGGGGGGACATATGTCCCCGGACGCCGACCTTAGGGGTGCCAAAATGGGTTGGAAAAACAAATTGAAAGTTTGAAGGGGGGTGGAAATCAAAAGTTTAAGTGGGGTGTGCAAATCGAAAGTCTGAGGGGAGGGGGTGCAAATCGAAAGTTTGTCCCCGGGCGCCGGGAAGGGTCGCTACGCCTCTGACAACAGGTAATGAATTAATGACTATTAAGTATTACACGTCCTATCAATCGAGTGTTATTCTCAGAACAGCTATCATCAAACCAGATTAAGTTTTGTTGGTTATCCGGTCTTCTCACTTCAATACAATGCAGGGGCGGATTAAGCTTCAATGGGGCCCCTGGCTGAAACTTTTTCCGGGGCCCCCCTTAACTATATATATATATATATATATATATATATATATATATATATATATATATATATATATATATATATATATATGGATATATGTATATATATATATGGATATGTGTATGTAGTTTATATAATGACATGTTACAAAACAGAGGCTTTCCCAGAAATAAAGGTCGAATGATGGAGTAAACTAAAGGTTAACAGAAGTTATAGCATAGACAAAAAATGTTACATTTAGTGTAATGTTAAATTACATTGAGAAATGAGAGCATTTAAAGTAACCATTGTTTATTTACTATTGCAAAATAAATTATGAATACATACATTTATTACATTTCTTTTTACTTAGAACTAAAGACCAAGTAACTTTTATAGGGAACATTTTCGAGCTTTCCTAATGGCAAACTCTTCTATTAGTTCTGTATAATTCAGTGAGCTTACAATGTCATTTTCTATGCTCATAAGTGAGAGCATACTAAGTCTATGCTGTCCCATAGTGCTTCTAAGATCGCTTTTAATATTTTTCTTTTGGAAAATGAGCGCTCTCTACAGATAAATTCGAAGACCAATGTGTACATTTGGAAACCTCTGAATTCACTTGAATCTATTAATAATAAATTATTTTGAAGATATATACTTAAATTTTTTTTAGCTGAGTACCCCAACGTATGGAAGAAGATTATGAATTCATTAGTTATTGGGCATAAAATATAATATTTTATGAATGGTGGAAAACCTACGAGGGGGTTAATTTTACAAAATGGCCGCCGTTGTCATAGTTACCAAGATTTTCCCACCATTTTGTTTAGTGGAAATGCATATGCGGATGTATTTTTAAAAAGCTGAAAAGAAATAACTGTTTTCTAACGAGTATTAAAAAAGTTTTTTTTTTTTAACCTGAGCCTCCCCCTTTAAAAAAATGTTTACTTATCAAGACGAAATCACTGACTACGGCTAAATTCCAAGGAATTCACAACTCAAATGTTTTAATGGGTGAAACTTTGGGGCGGGGAGACAGTTGGGTGGGGGGCATGTCGGATGTGTGTGTGTGGGGGGGGAGGTAGATGCCATGCCCTGCAATAGAGTCTCATCCGGTTTTGTATTACAGTGTGGGACAGCAATAACGCCTTTATTTATAGGCTTCTTTTCTCTTGGCCTGTTTGGCAATTCCTATAGTGCAATTAATACGGGTGAGAGTGTGCCTTGAACTAGAGATGTTTCGCATTTTTTTTATCTCTAAGTAAGGCACTCGGTCAAAAGGTCAATACTTAAAAAAAAAAACACTTCTACATCGGTCCGTGTCTAACCATCCACTTCGCTATGTCAGTCCCTCCCTACAACTGGGACGTTTTTTCCCAAATTTAACACCCATGTAACACATACTCTCAAAACAAATCGTCTACCGTCAAGTTTACACCGTCCTTATTAGTCTCTACCAGTCTCGTCTTATTTTTATCTATCTACACTATGACAATACGCAAACAGCCCCTCATACAAATACCCCCACTCCCACCCTCCCTCAGCCTCGACACTATGTGTTTTTAAATGGTTTTCAAAACATTTTCTATCGGTAACGAAGTCAGGTCGAGGGACTGCTGGTTAAATAAGGCAAAATTAAACATTAAAGATCAGAGTGTATCTAATGGATCTCGCTTGTCTCGGCACATTCACTGATAAAGCTATTATTAAAGTGATGCTTGTTAATACTTGGTGAAATTTTAACTCATACTTCTGACATTAAAAAAATAATTTAACTAAGCTATTAAAAATCAATGATAAAGTAATATTTGCTATAATTGAGAAATCAAAATTTGGGGGCCCCTAAAATTCGGGGGCCCCTGGCTGCAGCCCTTTCAGCACCCCCCTTAATCCGCCACTGATACAATGTCTATCCCTACTTAAATTGTAGCTGCACAAGTTTATTGCCTTTTGATAATAGCCCACTACACAATCCTGGGTACAGCGCTTGAGGCTAGACACGCCCCCATCCCACACCTCCCCACCGCTGGATAGTGCGCGAAGATCCAATGAGACATAGATTACGGATGTTTATTGAACCGTGAATAACACTTCCGTGTAGGTAGGGTTAAGCACTATGTTTCTGTACACGGCCTAAGTGAATGTTTATCAGCTATAGCCCATCTAGTATTTACATTAGTTGCTAGCATACCTTATACGAAGCGAAGGGCATACACACTAACACATGTGTCGTGTACAGTCCGATTTAAAGTCTGACGAACGCGTTCAAACCTATCATCACAGCATGCCGTAACAAAATTATAAAGGGGTCATCCATAAATGATGTCATGCTTTTTTTGACGATTTTACCCCCCCCCCTCCCCTCCGTCACACATCGTCACAAAAAGCCAGACCCCCTAAAATAACGCCACACTTCAGCCTACAACCCCCCTCAAAATTGCAGTTGAATTTTTTTTAAACATTGATATTTTTCCAAAATCTTTTCTGAACTCTGTCAAAATAGAGTATTTTAATCAATTCCTATTACAATTTATTAAAACAGTTTTCTAAAACGCGAAATTACGTCTAAAATTCGTTTTCTAACATTGCTTTTTTACTTTCTCGTATATACGAAATATAGAGAAAGTATTGTAATCGTGCAAAAAAAAAAAAATCGAGATTTTCCCACGTTTTCTTTAACTTGCTTTCGCCTCTGTTTGTTTGTTTTTCCAATCAAATCTTGCGATCGAAATTTCGGGCACTTCCCAGTTAGCTAGCGCGCTGAAATTTTCAGGGAAGCTTTGTTTCCGATGACAATATAATATTCAATTGTTATTATTACTAAATTGATCCATGGAAACATTTTATTGATCATTTTAGACCGCTATATAATTGTACAAAAAACGTGGGGGAAAAGGGACATAACCCAGTAACTGTAATTTGATGAAAACAAGGTTCGGTACTCTCCCTCTTTTTGCTTACTGAGTAGTGTTCACGCGGTGTTTGTGTACAAACAACCGTAACAACTGGTGGCCAGTATGGGGGAGACGATATGGTCGAGTGGTTGGGCACACGATTGCTATCCCACTCGACACGGGTTCAAATCTATGTGTTCTAGTCAGTAACGTATTCACACAACGTGTTTTTTACGAGTTGTCTTCGTTTACCAAAAAAAAATGTGAAAAGATAAAATCGATAGCAAGATTTTAATGCAAACAAACAGACAAAGACTAAAAAGTAGAAAATAATAATCATTAAAAAAGTTTTTAAAAACCCACGTTTTCTGACTGAACTAAAAAGTAGAAAATAAATGCTATACATCACAATAATGTAAGCGATCACTCTACTATAAGCGATGAAAAACGTGGGGCGCCGTGATTTTCTTACAGTTTCTAATACTGTTGACTCTCTACAAGCTCCCTAATAAAAGTCAATAGTATTATCTAATCATTAGTAATATAACTTTTACTTCGGCGCCCCACGTTTTTCATCGCTTATAGTAGAGTGATCGCTTGCATTATTGTGATGTATGGCATTTATTTTCTACTTTTTAGTTCAGTCAGAAAACGTGGGTTTTTAAAAACTTTTTTAATGATTATTATTTACAAATCTCGACGTTTTACACCTCACTGATACGGAAAAACATAATTTTGCAATCTTGTCCGTATGTCTTTGTGTGTGTCTGTGTCTGTGTGTGTGTCTGTCTGTGTGTTAACACGATTACTTGAGTACCGTTACAGCTAGGTTGATGAAATTTCACATATAAGTATTTTATCAAAATCGTAGATCCGTATCAACTTTTGAGCGATTTCCCATAACCGAAGTGGTACTTTTTCTACTTTGAATTTTTCAAAAGCCTATAACTTGAGTACTATTTCAGGTAGATAAATGAAATTTTACACGTAAGTAAAAGATCTAATTCTCTACCTTCTGTCAAATTTTGAGTTATTTCCGTTGACAGGAAGTAGTAATTTATGCTATTTCCGATTTCTCCCCGTAATGTTATAATTTAAACTGCTATGTTATGTAGCCTAAATATCAACATTTCTAATGACTCATCGCAAGTATACGTCTTGGCTTACTTCTCGGCCCCTAGCTCAGCGCCGTGCACTAGCAAGGTGCTTTTTGTCACCATGTCAAGCCACTTTAACATCTGTACATCTGCTGTTTGCGTTATTCCTGTTCCACATGGACCGTAGACCACCCACGGATCGATCACAATTTATAAGTCGAGTAGTCTTAGCTTAAGTTGTCATACTCAAATATCTCTTATATTGGACGCTTATTATCTTTGGGGTTTAAGACGTTGGTTAATTGTTCACGTAAAATGTGCCCCTTAGAATAAGATTTTGCCTATCTATGCCAATACTAGCAAGAAGTGAAATTGCAGATCACTTGCATATCAGCTGATGTAGAACATCTTCCGAATGCACCTAGTAAAGATGAACATATTTTAAAGTGGATTGTGTTTAAAAACTGTATGTGGTCCCAGAGGCGTAGCGAGTGGGGGGTGCAAATCGAAAATTGAAAGTTTGTCCCCGGGAAGGGTCGCTACGCCTCTGGGTGGGGGGGGGGGGGTGACACCAGTGTTTCTTCCAGACTTTTTTCTCCGGGGGGGGGGGGGGGGGGGCACTTGAAATCTTCGGGGGGCGGTAAACTTTCTTCGGGGGGCCGGACACTGTTAAAAGTATATATTTTCTATATAAATTATATAAATTTCATTTCGTTCGGGGGGGGGGGGGGGGGAGGGGGCGGTAAAAATTTTTCGGGGGGGGGGGGGGCTTTGCCCCCCCGAAGAGATGCCTGGAAGAAACTCTGGGTGACACCATTAAGTGCCGCGCCGGGTGACACCCGACCTCGCTACGCCACTGTCTGATCCTAACCGAAAACAGACGAATTTTAAAAAGTTGTTTTGGGTTGATGTTTGTTGCCCACTGAGCCGTGAGCTTTTGTTGAACTGGGTCATAGGCCTACTGGTTATGTAAATTGTGCACAGCAGAGCTAGCTTGCTGTTACCGACAGTGACCTCACACACTTCACGTAGTGTACCCTCGAAACAAGATGGCTTCCATGGTAAGTAGTAGGCCTATACATTAGTATACATAATTTTATTTTGATTTAACGTGTTTAAAAGACAGAAAAAACATAGTTAAATGGAATTCACAAATGATCCGACAAGGGTGTTGACGTTTATTTTGTGACTAGCGTAAGCGTTATATTTTCCAAAATAAAAACTAAAATTTCAACCATATTTTAAGCTGCGTAATAATGGACGCAAGCGAGTTGACGAGATTCCTTCCATAATGTTGTGGACATGGAATAAAAACGTGCTTTTTAGATTTAGACCGTAAAAAAAAAATTAAAAAAATAAAAACTTAAGCCTAAAATTAATTTAGAAATTTTATATTTTTAGAATAAATGCAATAAAAGTTGCAAATCCAGAGAACTTGAAAATAATTTGTTGAGTTTAAGGCTACATTTCTATTTATTTTCATCAAGCCTAAGTTATAACCGGATGTTTCACTTTCGTAAGACAAATATTGATTGGCTGTACAGTAACTTAGTGATCGATAACTAATACTATTTATTTACAAAACTTTGCAGATCAAGTTTTTAAATAACAATGCAAATTCAAACCCCATCAGAGTTTCTTCCAGGCATCTCTTGTTTTTGCTTTTTTTTTTACATTTTTATTTAGTTACCGAAAATATTAAAAACATCAGCTACATCCAATCTATAGTAAAGTCCAAAAAAAAAAAAAACAACAACAGACAGGCAGGATTTTATAACCATATTAATTGTATTATGTAACTACGCCGTACATGATTTTTAAATTAATTTATGGACCTCTCAAATACCTTTGAGACTTTTCTCGCTGGCGTCCATTATTCATGATAACTCTATTATTTTTTTTGAGGTAAAGCGTGGTATAGTATAAGGCTGCAATAATATTATTACTAGTACATATTAAAGATTTCTACTAATCCAAGTATTTTCTGATAATAAAAATATTACATTATTCTAACACATCTCGCACTAAGAAGGACAATGTCGCCTAAGATTTGTATCTTCATTACGGTTCAAGAAAACTTAAATAGTTAAAAATTATAGTTATTTATCTTTAAATTGGTACCAATTTTAATCTTCAAAATAAATCGATAGTCTATAAACAGTGTCAGAGCTAGAGAAAAAAAAAGCCACTCCCCCCAAGGCAAAAAAATTCCCCCATTATATATATATATATATATATATATATATATATATATATATATATATATATATATATATATATATATATATATATATATATATATATATATATATATATATATATATATTCATTGAGAGGTATACCCACCGTGAGACAAGAAATCATACAAAAATATGCTCTTACTCATTTCGGGTCTGATATAACGGTATTTTAAAAACTTCTTAATCTCATTTTTAAAAATACAATAAGATGTTTATTACAAGAACAGTACAAATGATGAGCGGGGCCGGCGCTACCTACAAGGCGAACTATGCGGTCGCCTAGGGCGCTATCCATTGGGGGGTACAAAAATGTGTTATCGCCATTATTACAAAGTAGATAATAATTGATAACTTTGATTATACTACAGATTAAACTATAGACAGGGTAATATTCCAATGCGGTGCCCAGGACGAACTATCAATTTTGCACCCTTTCCTCAAATTAGGCCTATGTATAAGTTATTCGCGTTGGTGATAATGCACTCCCCACCTCCTTTATTCGGAAAGGTCGGGGCGCTTTCTACCAGTCACTTTTCCTTTTATTTTGTTGTCACACAATTGATGTAGAAAACAATTAAATAAATCCGTATTTCCAAACAGAATCCAACATTATTTATTTCGACTAGGTAATGAGCTTTTTATATTATTATCTACCACGTTTGGCGCCCGCCCCCCTTCCATACCACGTCTCTTTTAATATAATGATAAAATAATTGTATTTTAAAATTTAATCTAAATCTTTTAATTTCGAACTTTTTAGACGATTATCTGATTTTAGAGTTGATTTAGTGATAGCTCTAGCCGCCTAGCGCTTGACGCGACGTTGTAAAACACGTTCAATTTTTATTTTTAATAGGACTCGGAAGTATTTTTTTGTCTCCATTTGAATTTGAAATTTCGTTAGCCAGCGAGAGATTTTGATTTTCAAACTAAATTAAACACAAACGTCAATACTAACAGTAACGTAAACACGAACGCAACGCAAACATAAACATAAACACAAATGTCAACACAAACGCAAACATAAACACAAACGTTACGCAAACACAAATACAAACGCAAACACAAACTGAAGCAGACGATTTTTTTCTATAATTTTTATTATACAATAATATAAAGTGGCTCACAATAATTTTTTAAAGCGAACACAGCAGTATAAAGGTCTAGTGGAGGCTGTCGCTTGACCCACTTTTTTTACTTTCTCGTATATACGAAGTATAGAGAAAGTATTGTAATCGTGCACAAAAATAATATGAAATTTTGAGCTTTCACCGTTTTACTCCTCAGTCCTTCATCACATCCGGAGTATAGAGGTCTTATTTTAATCAGGCAAAAATTATAAATACAAATATATAAAATTTTTGGCGTTTTATGCGTTATCGAGTCGTAAAAACTGGACTTTGCAATTCTGTCCGTTTTCTGTGTGTATGTCTGTCTGTAAACACGAAAACTTGAGTACCGTTAGAGCTAGATTGATGAAATTTCAAATATAAGTATTTTATCAAAATCGTAGATTTAATTTATTTATATAACACAAAACAAATTCAAGTAAAATTTCAAATGCAAAAGATTTGTTTCATTTTTTATTTCTACAACCCCCAAACTAAACGACCTTTCTGAGTAAGTAGTGAATAAACCAAGAGCCGGTACAAATACAAAAGAATCGCGTGTCTTCACTTTCTCCAACTAATGCCAGGCATGGATAATAGCTGAGTGGACATCTACAAATAAAGTCATTGCCCCAATTCCGGGAATAACACTTGCTAAAAAGTTTGTTCGGCAGATATAAATCCCAAAATCTAGCCAATTGGCTTTTATTTAAAAAAATAATAATAGTAATTTTAAAACTAAACTAGAATACCCGTCATCCCTTGGATAACTGTGGGTTTCGGGGGACATCCATCAAAAAACATCACGTCTGTCACTCAGAGGCATAGCGAGCCTTCCCGGCGCCCGGGGACAAACTTTTCGATTTTAACCCCCCCCCCCAAGATTTCGATTTTCAACCCCCCCCCTCAAACTTTTGATGTGCACCCCCTCCCCCCCCCCCCCCCACTCAAACTTTCGATTTGAACCCCCCTCAACCTTTCAATTTATTTTTCCAAACCATTTTGGCGCCCCAACATACGTCCCCCCGCCCCCCCCCCCTTCACCTCCCCTTCCCTCCCCCGCCTCCCCTCCCCCCCCCCCCGCCTCCCCTTTCCCCCCCCCCGCCTCCCCTTCCCCCCCCCCCCCCGCCTCCCCACCCGCCCCCCCCCCCTCCTCGCTACGCTACTGCAGTGTCACTTATCGTCACAAAAACAGAGCCCACATTCAAAAATATGTTTCTTATCTTTTAAAAACACCGAAAACACCGATTTCGGACTATCCCTTCATATACTGACGTCACATGTGACCTACTCAACTCTACTTCACCTGCCCAGTGTCCCGCCAAGTCTCAGACAACATGTTTTTATCGTTTAAAAACGATTCCAGCCGAGTATGTCTCTGACCACACTATCCTTTCATATGGTTAGGACAAAGAAACAGATGAACTCTACTTCACCTGCCCTGTATCCTGCCAAGTTCAGATAGGCAACTTTATCATTAACATCTAAAAAAAAAAAATTGAAAAAAATATCATTTTTTATCATTAACATCTAAAAAAAAAAAATTGAAAAAAAATATCATTGACATATTGGTCTAGAACCTGTACCACTCGCATGAGAGCGGACTACGCTACAAACTTAGCTATTTACTCGTGACGTCACAAATGAATTTTTATACTATACTTTGATGCAACTTGATTTCGAGCGTCTAGTCTAGAAGTAGTAACTTTCAAATTAAATTTTATCTTAAATTAGCCAAACAAAGATTTATATAAAATAATTAAGGCCTGAAATAGATTCTAGATGTATTAAGGCCTGAAATAGATTCTAGATGTAGAATTTACATTAAGTCTAGATTTAGAATTTACATTGAGTTTAGTGACCTAGATCTAGATCTAGGCTAGATTCATAAATTTCCTTCGACAGCTGATCTTTAGATCTAGAGAAATTTATTGTAAAACTAAATGAAAAAAGACAGTTGAAAATTGATATAAGTGTTGGAACGTAATAAATACAGCAAACGGACGTATTGTTAAAGTTATGACCGACAGAAAATTAGATTTAGAACGCGTTAAACTTTGGAATGGGAACACAATTTTCTTCGATAGACGCCGCCATTTTATTGTACTAAAGAGTCAACAAAAAACTCTGACGTCACTATCAAGGGACGTCACTATCCCCACAAAGTTTATTCAAAGTATTAACATTTTTAAAAAAATACGGTTAATTTAACAATGAATAAATCAATAAATTAATTAACGTCTTTAAATAAATTTGTGATTAACAGTCTGTCTGCATTAAAAAATTATTCTCTACCTACATACTATTTTACAGCTGTCCCGGTAGAGTCGAACATATCACAATAGTCAATCAGGCAAACAAACAAATAAATATTCAAACATGTAAACAAACTTGACTTTTAGTAGTATACTAGAATACCCGTCATCCCTTGGATAACTGTGGGTTTCGGGGGTCATCCATCAAAAAACATCACGTCTGTCACTCAGAGGCATAGCGAGCCTTCCCGGCGCCCGGGGACAAACTTTTCGATTTTAACCCCCCCCCCCAAGATTTCGATTTTCAACCCCCCCCCCCCTCAAACTTTTGATGTGCACCCCCTCCCCCCCCCCCCCCCACTCAAACTTTCGATTTGAACCCCCCTCAACCTTTCAATTTATTTTTCCAAACCATTTTGGCGCCCCAACATACGTCCCCCCCGCCCCCCCTTTCCCC